GGAAAAGTGGTCAATTTCCTATTAAACAGACTGACTGTCCAATGGTGGCCTTCTGCTTGATTTAAAAAATAGCTGCCTTGTCACGATCTGTCTGTTGTGTTTTTCTGTCTTTGGTTTCGTGTTTTGTTTTGAGAAGTCTTCACCCCCTGTCTTGCCTGTCGCTTTCTGTCTGTTTTCCCTCCTACCTGATTACCCGATTGTGTTCACCTGGTGCCCCTGTGTTTTCTCCTCCCTCCTCACCTGTGTCTTGTTTGTGTGATTAGTCTTGTGTGTATTTAAGTTCTGGTTTTTCTGTCTGTCATTGTTGGTTCATTATTTGTCGTTCATGTCTCCCTTCATGTTGGTCACAGTCACCTTTTGTTTGGATGCTACTTCGTACCTGTTCATGGATTCTTGTTTTACCTCGTACCTGTTCATGGATTCTTGTTTTTTCAGCTTTTGAAAATAAAGCTCGCCTTTGTTTCCTTTTGAAACCTGCTTCCTCCTCAATCTGCATTTGCGTCCTATTTTTCCCCAACCGTGACAGTATAAGTGAACACTGTGTTCAATTTACATCTATCACTTACCCATGCTGTTTCGTCCTGTGTCCCCTCCAGTGTGTTCGGCCAAAAGGTCCTCGGGGGAAACAAACACTGACAAAGAAGGTTCCGGGACGAACCAAGTGGCGAGATATGGCACAGGGGTTTCTGTCTTAGTTGGGAGCAGTGTTTCCGCCAGACCAGTGCTGAAAGGGCGTCCACCTCGAGAGCAGAGGGGGGGCTTGAATTTTGACTTGAGCCGTCCTTTATAGATACTGTCTTTTTACGTTAGTTAGCCGGATCATTTGGCTCGGCTCTCTTAAAGCACCGACTGTTTCGGCTCCCACACGGCTCTTCATGTTACCACAGTTTACCACGGAGCCTCAGTTTCGCCGCTGCAAGACTCCGGTTCTCGCAGCTCACGCGCCTGCTCCACTAGCACTGCTCATCGCGTCCAAATCGTGCATGTTCCTGTAGCAGGCACCGCCGATGTCGGGGAAACGATCTTCAATACTCCGAAAAGAATCAAACCAGACTCCTTTGCCCCAACAGAGGGATGTCCTTGTCCTTTTTCCTTTTCGTTATTTCAAGCGATAAAAACTCTAGATCTTCTCTGGAATTATTAATATTTTTGATAAATATTATGAAATGACGGCAAGACGCCCCCCTGGCGGAAACGCTGGTTGGGAGTGCATTTATATTTATTCTGGTCAGTTGTAATGTTTGTTTTGGGGTTAACTTAGCAGATGGCTATGGACAACTAATGATGCTATGAACATAATATTGTGGATGTTCTTTATGGCAATTGTGATGATGTGTATTTATTATTTTCACCTGTAAATGGTTTCTCCCAATTGTGAGGATAATCTATAAATGAGCCAGTAAAGGAACATGTGAGGGGTGAACATGTACAGAGAAGGGTGAACATGTACAGAGAGTGGTGGACACCTACATGCTGGCTACCTGTAGTGTTGGCGAGATGAAGCCATCATGGGCTTCATTTGAACACAAACCCCCCTGTTGGTCAAAGTGTGTAAAACAGGCAGATTGGACATCTCAATAGTGTGCTCTATCTCATACCGAGTTCCCAATGAGTAAAGCCTTAGAATAATTCTAACAATGGCATGAATAGATCATTTTAATTTGTATTCAAATGATGTAAATGATTACATTTCGCACATGTTTCCAGTTCCTCAAGTGATTTTAAGGACCAAAAACTGATTTTCAACTGATAGTAACGGATTAACGGATAGTGTGGGCATTCATTTCAAGTTTCCAAAATGCAATTTCAGATACAATTGGGTTCTGTGAATTATATTTCAACGAGCTTTGCATCAGAGACGCTGTAAGCTGTTTCTTTTTTTGTTAAGCCATCTATTTACCCCACTCTTGATTTATTGATTTTAATTAATGGAAACCCTTCTTTCAGGTTTTTTACTCTGTGGTTTACAGTATATGTCTGATGTGTATAGTTTGTTGACTTCCTCTAACTCATACTCTTCTCCCTGCAGATGAGGTGTGCCCTCCAGACTGGGACGGGCTCATCTGTTGGCCCGGGCTTGCTACCAAGGTCCCCTGTCCGACTTATATCTTCGACTTTAACCACAAAGGTTAGCAGTTATTTTTATTTCTTTGTAGACTTACCACCGCTAGAACTGAGCCATTTATTTACATATTCAGTTTTGGCGGCAGTTCTTCCTGTTTGTCCAGAAGTCTTCTCATCAGGGCTTTATAAATAAAGAACTACGGCAGATGTGTAATATTTAATGCAGCCGAACCGTGTATTACAATGCCGTTATTTGATGACTTCCAAAGAGAAAAGCCAGCACACTCGGAATAAAGCATTATTTTATTTTAAAAAAATGTTTTCGGATTTCACATCGCATAAACAACACATCCCAACATGCATTGCGGCTAAAACATCCAATCACGAGCTGAGGATCTTGCCTACGTCTGCCTACGTCTGTTTCCGGTATTGAGAAAAAGGTTGATAAACGCTGTGAGAATGGATCTGCGGAGAGCATTTTGCCACGATCCCATGTGTTGCAATGATGTCTCGCACCATACGCTTCAGTTGAGAACGGAATGTGCTTGAATTTCGATGCAGCGGGGAGCGTTCTCATGGCGTCTATTATCAATGCTATGGGAGGTCTATGAAGGTCTATGGGACACCCTGCCCGTTGAAAACTGACGCTCAAGGGGTATCTATACACACCCTGTGCGTAATAGGGTGACAGGGAGGGGCCCTGACCCACCGTCAACATGTGACGGGTTGGGACTGAGAACGTGAAAATCGCCACTGTTAGCCAGCTAGATCGCAACTTTTTAGTTTGCCATAACAAACATTGCAGACTACTCAATTAACCCAATTAAATTAATGTTAGCATCTTATTCAATGCTAATACTGAAACAAATGTATAACTTTGGTTTCTATAGTTCATTGTTAAGCAACTGCAATCACGGCTGTTTATGCAACTTCCGTTACTAGCAAAGATGGCGTAAAGTGCAAAAGTGTCCACACCCAGCCTAATAACCACTATAAGTTCACCCTCCAGGTCCTATAGTGCACTGCAAGCTGTATGAATGGCGCTAATTATCAAGAAATCCAGATGTTGGTTTCTATTGGAAATGTGCGAAATGATTTAAAAAGTATGTTTTTCAGGACACGCTTACAGGACATGTGATGTCAACGGTTCTTGGGTGTTTGCGCACCGCTTGAACAAAACATGGACCAACTACTCGGAGTGCTTCCTTCAGCCCACTGATGAGAAAGGGAGAGTAAGTATGACTGTAAAACATTAAAGGAGGAGCTGATTATGTCAACCAGCTGCAGCTGTTATTATTCCTACACACCATTAGGAATAATAATGGGTTATCCAACCTATCGTTGGAGGTGAGAGCGTGCTGCTTAGTCCCGTACACAAGAATATTCATTTATGACAAAGAGTGTCAGCATATGTAAGAGTCTTAACTGTCAATCTCACAGGAAAAGCTCATGTGGAGGCTGACTGTGAATAATCTGGCAAAGAACAAATGCACTGAATCATTCCATATGTCATTAAAACACAATAAAATGCTTGCAGAATATAAAAAGAATAAAGACAGTCCAATATTATTTTATTGAACAGAGCACATAGGCACCAATACAAAATAATCCTAGAATGTTCAAGCGTAATTAATATAGCAGCATTTACGTTGTACATGAATCCAGTTTTCGTGCAACTGGTATTCCAGTATATTTCCCTGTCAAAATGCTAATAGAGAAGGATTATCCCTCTGGGTTTTTTTTGGCTTCTATGTTAGGACATCTTTTATCCCAGCAGCTGTGAGTCATGTATGTGTTTCTTCTGCAACTCTATCTCACCTTAAAGAGTTCACTGAATGGCAAATATTTCTCTCTGTTTCAGCAAGACTTCTTTGAGCGGCTGTGTGTCATGTACACCATTGGCTATGCTGTGTCCTTTAGCTCTCTGCTGGTGGCCATCTTTATCATCGGATATTTCAGGTGAGAAAAGAGCTTTTCTGATGGGTTGTTTTTGTGACAAACAGACACATCGGGGGAATAACTACAGGAGGCTTTGGCTCCCAGGTATGTGTTTGTCCCAGAATGGAGGTTCTAACTTGTGTCCTGCAAAGTATCAACCGCAAGAAATGCAAAACAATATCAAGGTATAATCAATGAAAAGATGCATAGCAACACATTTAATTTATCATCCAATGGTTACTGGTAGTCAAGGCTAATGGTACCCCCGAAAAGTATCATGAGATAGGGTGCCGTAATAAGTGCCTACCGTGCCATCTGAAGTCAAATTGGACTCTTCAACCTGAAACAGCATCAGCAGCATTTTTTTAAACATTTCCGTTTTAGAATAATTGCTGGATTGTAATGCTGGAGAAGTAGCTACTGTATAGATGCTTAGTTTAGAAGTTAAGCCATCAATGTCACCATTTTCTTTCTCAGCCCAGCTTCTTTTTTAATTTCATTCACAACAGAGCATGCGGTTGCATGGCAGCCTTGAGAAAAATCATGTTTTTTCCCTCAGTGCTTCACCTTTTTTTGTGTGGCTGTTGAAGTTGAATATATTTCAAGTTTTCAGAAAAACCCTGGTGACGTCACTGTAGAAAGTGTAGAAGAAGCCTGTTTTGACCCTGTCTTTCAGGCAGAAACTAGCATAACACAGAATGAAAAGCCTGTTTCCCTTCTGTTTCCTTTGTGATTTGCATCCCTGTACGTTGACCTTCCTCTTCGCTCTCAGGACGATCTCTCACTTCATATAAAGTGTAGGAGCAAGACTCTTCTGGTGGGTGTTCATGGTGAAGAAACAATGTCAAACAAATATATAGTAGCACAGACAGATAATAAAATCCAAGTGGTTGAAGCTTGTTGGCCATACAACAGCGATGATACTTACCAAACACTTTTTTTTCAATGATAAGTGAAAAAATTGCAAAACTATGGATATTCCAAAATTCCAGTATGCCAATGATTTTATTAATGGACACTATTGTCCCACACTGCAGCAGGGATTATGGGAATCCTCTTACCGTTTCTCTATCCTACTAAAATAATAGAAATAAAAAGCACAGTCGACAGACATTTTTTTATACTGAGGTCACTGAATTCTAAACATGAACTAGAGAATGCAATTCCTGAATAAATTGCTAGTGGGAATGCTTTATGCTGAAAATCTGACGCTAAACTGCTATGCTGAAATGTAATGTGTAAGAAGAAAGTGAAG